ACTTCCTTTCCTGCTACAGCCGGACTTGCTTGGACTCCCCTCTTCCTGTACCTGGGAAACCTTCATCCTTCAGACCTCAGCTCCAATGGTATTTTCTTATAGAGGTGTTCTAGGTTCCCTAGACTAAGTCAAAAAAATCCCTGTATTGGGCTGGAGAGATGACTCAGAGGTTAGGAGCACTGCCTGTTCTTCCGAAGGTCCTGATTTCAATTCCCAGCAACCACATGGTGGCTCACAACCATTTGTAATGAGATCTGCAGAATACAGTATATATAGTAAATAAATAAATCTTTAAAAAAAAAATTCCCTGTATTGTTTAAAAAAATACAACCCCTGGGTCAGCAAGTTGGATGGGCAGTAAGAATGCTTGCTGAACATGCCTGAGGACCTATGTTGGCTCCCAGGAACCCACATGGTGGAAAGAGAGACCCGAACCTCACAGGCTGTCCCCTCTGACCCCCATGTGTGATATGGCATGTGCACACCAGCACAAAATAAATACGAAACACAAAAAAACCAATGGTTTCCATGGCACTTGCATTTTCTTTTCTCAACATTTCTATTCTAATTCCAGGGGCAAGTTTCACCCAGACACCCCTTACCTCCAGAGGCTCTTCTTGGGCCACCTGCTTGTTCAGCTTCTGAGTATAGGCATCACAGATTTCAGTCACTTGCACAAACCCTTGGAGGCCATTGGGAAGACTGATGACCAGTTCCAGTTCATTCACCTCTTTCACACAACCCAAAATCCGCATTCCCTCACACAGGGACTAGAAAGGAAAACATACATAGTAACTACATACAGTAAAGCAGACGACAATAACGGCAGTTAGGGGGACTATGGCTTTTTGTCCCAACACCAATACTAGAGGGATTTTATAAACAAAAGGAAAACACAGGCATGTGTATATATCCAGGCATACCAGCTATCTCACTGAACGCCAGGAAAGGTCTTGATCAGACAGGGCTACAGTGATGAACTGCTAGAGCCGCCAGCACTCTCTACCATACCCTAGCAGCCCTCATACAGAACCCCTACAAGACAGCACGGGAAGGAGACAGACCACTGAAGCAACGGCAGCCTGGAGTCAAAGGGCACAACTCTGACACAGCGTCTAGAGTCCTCAGACATGGGGGAAAGTGGGCTTTCTTTTGTCAGGAGTTTGAATTTTCATGACACCAGCATCACATTTTTACATGAAATCTCTAGTTTTTTAAAGTATCACCAAGTTAAATAATTTTTTTAAAATATCACAATAGAAAACAAAATATTTCTGCAGGCTAATGAATTACCCCAGAATAATCTATTTTCCTATTTTAAAATGAACATATATTGGAGGATGAAGATGAGAATAATAAAATTTTAAGAACTGTAAGACCACACCATTAATCTGAGGCCATTTCACATCTACACAATGAATGAGCAGAGGTCAGGCATGGTTTGACATACCTTTAATCTTAGTGTTCGACAGACAGAGGCAGGAAGATCTCTATTAGTAGGAGGTCAGCCTGGTCTGCATAATGAATTCAAGGCTAGCCAAGGGTTAGATAGTGAGATTCGGTCTCTAGTTCTAAATTCTACTAAAAGACAAGCATATATAAACCACACATATCTAACCAATTTCATGATTTTTTCTTGAGACAGAGTCTTGTGCATCTCAGACTAGCCTGGAACTCACAGTTACGGATGACCTTAAGCTTCTGATCTTCCTAACCCAAGTCCCTAAGTACTAGGATTACAAGCATATACCACATCTGGTTCATGTGATGCTGAGGCTCAAACTCAGGGACAGAGAGTGGGGATAGGGGACAGATGGGAGGCAGGCTGACTATACACAGTACTCCCTGTACGTGCAAGATGGAGGTCCTTGGCTACATAGACGGGTCAGACAGCATAAGACCTTACCTCAAAAAACCCCCAAACAGAGCCAGGCAGTGGTGGCACACACCTTTAATTCCAGCACTGCGGGGGGGGGGGGCACGGACTCGGACCACGGTCGGATGGACAGGCAAATCTCTGTGAGTTCAAGGTCAGTCAGGTCTACAAAGCAAGTTCCAGGACAGGCTCCAAAAGAAACCCAAACCAACCAAATAGAATGACACCAGGTGGCATTAGTTAATAAGCAAAGGAAAAGCTCATTTCTCATAATTTGCACTTGTCTCTATAGACACATACAGAAAACATAATTGTGTGCACATATGTATACAAAGAATAAAGGAAAAGAGGGAAGAGACACAGACTTAAACAAGGAGCACGTTACAGAGAACACCAAGTATTACAAACCTCAACACTGAGGATTTCAAATTTCTCTCTCACAGATTTCTTGGCTTCTCTCTTTTCAGTTTTCAGTTTTTTTGTTTTCATGGGCCCTTTCTGGCTCTTCTTCCTTTTAGTGGATTCTTCCTCTGTGGAGATCTTAAGAGGAGAAAAAAGATTCACGGATGCAGAAGAATGATACGCAGCCATCTTAGCTGTCACCACGGGTTTGGGGTCCCGTTACCTTGCTCTGTTACTTTACTCCCCCAGGCCACTCCACTCTCCCACCCCATTGTCTTCATTTCTGCTGCAGTCCCAAGCCTAGTATCCAGGTGCCAACGTTCCCCTTGCCCAGGGTCTGAGAAGCCTCCTCCAACTTCCCAATGTCTCTTCTGTCCTGCGTGCTTCCTCTGGTGAGCGGGGTGGACACTGGAGTTCCCTAGCTTGAGAAGCCACGTGTCACGTGGAAATGGAATCCTGAGGCTCAGGAAAAACTCCAACGCTTTTCCACAACAAACTTTATGCTTTCAACAAAACATATACCTTCCCTACAGCTCAGTTTCTCAGCATGGAACAATGACTTCTACTCTAGAATACATGTGGAGAGATTCTGTAATACCGATGACCTAAGGCCACACACCCCTAAATGGTGGTTTTCCTTCTCTCCAGCATCAAGAGCACAAACCACTCTATGAGACTGAATTCTAATGTAAGCTCTCCTTACTAGGACTCCTTTTAAATAAATGCACAATGATTAGAACTGGGGCAAAGGAGCTCAGGAAAAGACAACTTGCCTAACATGCACAAGGTCCTAGGTTCGAGCCCAAGAACCACAAACAAAACAAAACTTCAGTATCAAATCCCTTTTGTCCATCCTTAATCAACTGGCACAGACTCCCTAAGGACAAGTCACAAAAGCATTTCAACATCAAACACTAAACATCAAAAAGAAGCCTGAGGTGGCAGAGACTCTTTAACAAGTTCAGTTTCTAAAAGTGACATTGAAGAGAAAGAAACTGGAACATAACTGCTGCCAGCAAGGCTCGGTCATCCTGGAGATGCTACCAAGTTTCAGGTCTCACCAAAGCAGCACACCACTTACATCAAATAAGTTGTCCTGTTCAACTGCCTGCTGGGAAGGTTTCTCTGATTTGTGGCTTTTTCTTGTACCCCCTCGGGGGAAGTTTTCTTCCAGGTTTGCCATGTTTGCGTCTCCTAAAGCTGATAGAAAGAATAATGGTGAGCGGTAGCATTGGGGGCAGGTTTCATAAAGGATGTGATTCATGGCATGAGAACCTTCTAGCAAGGCACTAAACAAGACTTAAGAGTATGTTATATAAAGTTGATATACCAGGTTCTTGTTAATCCATGTCTTTCCAACTTTGTATGATTCAAAACCATGAACTATATATACACTATGTACCATCTTCCAGGAAAGGATTCAATATAGCAAATGTTCATTCAATATTAATTATTGTAATAATGTCAGGTGTGTGTGCATCTGTGCATGTGTGTGTACATAAATACAATATGTAAGTAATTTAAAATGCAAATCAAATTATAAAGCATAAACAAAAAAGTGACAAGATTCAGTAAAGGTGGCAAGCTTCATGAGAAAGATGCTTTTGAGCTGAATGTTCAATAAGTAGGAAGCCAGGTCTGATGGGCCACGCCTTTTAACGTCAGCACTTGGGAAGCAGGCTTAACTCAATTACCAAAAATTAGTTATCAAAAATAACTAATAATAATAAATAGTAATATAAGTAGAAAGGGGGGGCACTGAAAAAAGCCTATTTTCCAAAACATGCCAGTCATTTGCCTATCAAACAACTGTTTGAAGGGCTTCTTTAAAAACTGAACCCTCTAGTAAACCACTTAATAACAAGGTACATTTTGGAAATCAACTTGGGCTCTTCCGTGGAGGATAATTGAAAACTAAGTAGCTTGTCTTTACTTGGTACTTCAGAGACTTGGGGGAAGCGACAGAATAATGGAAAACAACATTCTTCACTCTACCGACTGGAGAGGAAAAGAACGAAACCAAAGCAAGTAACTCAAAGGCAAGTTTTAGAAACAGCGTGTAAGGGTTGAAGAGCCACCGAGCAGGTCAACCATGGGAACCAGGGCAAGGTATAAATGAAGACACAAGACAGGTTGGTTTATTCTGAGATACCTGGGGATAAAAGTTCAGTTACAGCGTGAGACTGAAAGAAGTGACGACCGAGAAGAAATGCAGGATTTGGTCTGTATGGGTGCATGCGTCACAGAAATAGGGCCACTGTGCTGGCAATCCAACCCTTAATTCCCATTTTAGACCCGATGAGACTGAGGCGCCGAAGAGCCTGGCGATCACGTGCAGAGAAGGCACTAAGGGTACTTGAAGTGGACAGCCTGGCTTACAAGAGCCGCTAAGGCAAAAAGGGGCATGGGTGGGGAGACCACACATGCCGACTCAAAGGTGCATAGCAGGATGGCCGGAGACCCGGGCCAGGAAGCCGAGGTGGGAGCCATGAGGTCTCCTCCCTCTGGCCGAAGCTCCTGGGTTCCAGCCCCGTCGCTCCTGCGACTGCCTACCTCACCGGCCGGTTCGAAGCGATCGCACGCGCAGGAAACCGCGCCAACAGCCCCACGCCGCTCTCCTAAAGACGTCAGCAGGATCCGTTCTACTTCCGTTATGAGGACCATTCAGACACGGGCCGAGAAGGGAAGTAGGGGGGAGGGACTTTTCATGATAGCCAATCAACGCAGAAGGTCGAGTCGCCGCGGCCAGTCCGTCGCGTGGAGGAGGGGGGTGTCTTCCGGTCGGGCCGTGCTGGTGGCTGGGTTTGTTGAAGGACATCAGCTGCGGAATTTGTGATTTGGGCGAAGGTGGGTGAGAAGGGGCTGTCGGCTGCTCGGGCCGCTGACTGGGCTTCGCAGGGCCGACTAGAACCTGGCCGTTTCTCCCGTCTCGCACTAGCGAGAGGTCTTCGCTTTGCGGGGAGGGGCCGGGGAATGGCGCTGGAGAAAATGAGGGTCGGGGCCCTGCGGTGCGTCTGGGAAGCCTCAGCACCGGGAGGTGCATGCGCCCCAAGGCTCGCACGGTTCGCGGAGAACCTTATATTCCATTTTCCAGTGGGAGGGTGAGACCCGTCGAGAGGGGAGCTCCCCAAGGTCATCCTACAGTGTTGGATGCGATCTCTGGCTTCTCACCCCATCTCTGGCTAAATTCTGTGTTTTGGCCTATATGGCCATAACTATTTGTTTTCTCTGAGCTGCAGTCAGGAAGCTAGCCCTCCCTTAACTGTGCGGCAGTCTTTGTCAAAACTAGAGTAAACGCAGAGTAGCCCTTGCGAATCTCCAGGCCTGGGCGCGATTAACGGGTTAGATTTAAGTCTGTGTTCCGGAAGTAATCAGCTTGTGGTTCCCGACCCCCCCTTCCCAGATATTTATCTCCAAAAATTTTTACATTACGATTCATAACTGTTAAAATGGCAGTTATGAAGTAGCAACGAAATTAATTTTATGATTGGGGATCACCACAACAGGAGCTGTATTAAAGGGCCGCGGTATTAGGAATCAGTGGAAAGGTTCTACAAAAAAAACTCTTGCTTGTAGACCCTGGGCGCCTTTGAGGCGACTTTCCTTTACTTAGACCTGGTCATCTCGGTACTCCAGATAGGTGTTTGTAAGACAGGAGAATAGCAATATCCAGGAACCGATTGCGAAGCAAGGGCAACTGATCACCCTAAGCCTTTAATGAAACACCCATTTCACAGGGAGAGGGGCGTGGAAAGACTGGTTGTTTTTAAGAGTGGTATTGGGTTATTTAAAAACAAGCAAAATCTATCTGCTTAAACTTTCTAACAGAATGCTGTTTAACGATAGTAAATCTTTAATAAATCACAGGTTCACAAGTATTAGTCTTAGGTGATCTTTTCACTATTTATGGCTCTAGACTTGCATGTGATTTCAAGGAGAACACATTTTAGTTCATTCTTATTGCCAGGTGTGAATGGCTTATGCCTTTAATCCCAAAGCTATCAGGCAGATCACTGAGTTCAAGGCCATCCTGGTGTACGCTGTGAGTTCCAAACCATCTGGCTTTGCATATTGAGACCCTGTCTTTTAAAAAAAAAAAAATCCCATAAAGGGCAGTATTAACAAAAAGGTTCCTGGTCATTACCCCAAAGCAATATTCGGTTCGTTGGAAGGTGTAGACCTGTAAGGCTTTAAGCCTTAATATGACAATTGTTTGCTGAAGGTGGTGCATGCCTTTAATCCCAGCACTCAGAGGCAGAGGTGGGCAGATCTCTGTAAGTTCAAGGCCAGCCTGGTCTAAAGAGTGAACTCCAGGACAGCCAAGGCAACACAAAGAAATCCTGTCTTGAAAAGCCAAATGATAATACCACTGTTTATCTCACAATCAGCATGACTATTCTTCTTCCATCTAAGCTTCTTTAAGACCCCAGTTCCTATACCATGTCTTTGTTGTCTTTGACTGCATTCATCCTTGTTCCAGTGTCTTGTAGAGTGACTCCAACAGCACCTCAGCTCTGGCTCACCCTGCACTGTACCAGGCTAGCATAGCAGTCAGTGAGTTTCTGCAAGGTTTCTCGTGAGAACCCACTTCATTGAAGGGCATGGAAAGCATGTGCTTTTGTAGTTTACAAAAGGGAAACTTGACAAACTATGAAGTTGTTTGTTTAATGGTGATTTCCTGCTTTGGCTAGATTGGCCAAGGTCTGTGAAAAGGACCCAAAGAAGTTTAGATTTCCTTCACTGTTCCAGTAACCATTTTGAAAATGTTCAAAATTAAGGTCTGGAATTTGTTGCAAGATCTTTGAGTATGAATTCTTCTGAAGCCCTTTGAATGGTAAACAAAGGGGATGCCAGTTTCCGTAGCAACATTACCCTTACTGTTCTCTCCCACTTCCATTTCATCTAGAGCCAGCCAGCCAGTCTACCAATCTTGCCTGGACCTCGACCAGCTACTCCAAGTTGTCATTGGGGTCTGTGGCTCGGTCGTGGTAGGTAGGCAGTCATACATACAAAACTTTGAGTGGTTTTGAATTCTGCTGTGGCTTTCTGGATTTGTGTCTGCATTTTTCATCCTTTTCCCTCACTGTCCCCTTCCTCCACCCCATCTAACTCATTTTGATCCCTTCCTTACAGCCAAATAGTGCCCCATCTCCCTTCACGGTATCAAACAGCTTCTTTTTTCCTCCCTCTCCTCACGCCCTTAAAATCTCTTCCTCCTTTTTCAAGGTCCCCTTTCTGTTTTCGTAATTTAACACGTACACACACATACATATATGCATATATATTTAAGTCAAGGGTCCTTATACAAGAGAAGATATTGGGTATTTGTTCCGAGTCTGGCTTATTTAACACAATGATCTGTTGTACCCATTCTCCTGCTTGTGTCATAATTTCATTTTTGGGGCCAGGTGGGGTGGTGGCGTGTGCCTTTAATTCCAGCACTTGGGAGGCAGAGGCAGGCAGATCTCAGTTTGTTCAAGGCCAGGCTGGTCTACAAAGTAAGTTCCAGAACAGCAAGAGCTATTACACAGGGAAACCATGTCTCGAAAAAAAACAAGAGAAGGGGAAAAAGTTGTTTTTTCCATTTTTCTCATGGCTGAATAATTACACAGCAGATACGTACCACATATTCTTTGTCTACTCATCTGATGACAGACATCCAGGCTAGTTCAGTTTTGCTTGGTGAATAGTCTAGCGGTAAACATGGTTATGCAAGTATCTTTGCAGTGCTTTGATTTAGTCTTTCAAGTATATACTGAGTGGAGTAACTGGGTTGTATGGTAGTTCTGTTAACTTTTTGAGAATTCACCACTCTGACTTGCACAGTGGCTGAACCAGTTCACATTGGTGCCAGCACTGTGTAAGGATCCTCTGTCCCACATTTCACCGGTGTGGTGTTGCTTTTTTTTATGTAATTTCTCACATTAAAAAAAATAAAGCTAGATGGTGGCACATGCCTTTAATCCCAACACTCTGGAGGCAGAGTCAGGTAGACTCTGTGAGTTCAGGTCAGCCTGGTCTACAGAGCAAGTTCCAGAACAGCCAGGGCTACACAGAGAAACTCTGTCGGGGGGGTAGGGGGGCTCTATTTTCTCCAGGAGTTTCCCCATATAATTATTGAGCATTAAACATTTTTCTGGTGTGTGTGTATTGTGTATTAAAATTACGTAGAGGTCGTGTGTGTGTATTAAAATTACCTAGAGGCCTTACAAGACGGATAACGACCCAGGTTTCTAATTCAGTATGTCTGTGGTAGGGCCCGATGATCTGCATTTCTGACAAGTTTCCAGTGAGTTTTATGCTGCTACTTTAGGGACCAGACTTTGAGAGCCATTGATGAGCCCTGAAATACCCAGAAGTAGAGTTGATTTTTAGTATCACTTGGGGCCTCCTTCCATATGGTACACGGATAGGTACTCAGTTTCCTTCGGTAGCAATTGTCATTTATCAGTTCATGTTGGATTTCTCATCTTTCCACTTTTGTAAACAGTGTTTGGTAACTAGCTGTGAACCATGTATTTCTGCCTTGTGATATTTCTGAAAGGTAAATTCTTGGATGAGAAATGACCCAGCTAGATAGAAGGTATATTTATTATATAATTTGACAGACACTTTAAATGTTAAAGTTTACGCTCCACACAGTATTAAACCCCAGTTGTAACAATGCTTATTGTAAGTTCGTAGTTTTACCTTTCTTCTTTGGGGGGGGCGCGGGGGGGCATGGCCGCATGTTTAACCTACAACTCAAATCAGCCTGCCTCAGCCTCCCTTGTGCTGGGATGAAAGACCTGTGCCACACCAAGCTGATTTTAATTGCCTTGTGAGGTTGACTCTCCATTTTTTATTTCCTTTCCTTTAGACTTCTCTTTGCAAAGACAAGTAAAATAGTTGCCAATATTCTTCAAGAGGTTTTAGCTCCATTGTTTCCACTCAATTCCTTTATCCTTTTGGGTATAAGGAGTGGGTTCCAGCTTCAGAAACCACTGTTGACTGACACAGTATCATCACCAACTGGTCTGTCTCCTGTGGAGTCCTGAGTGTTTATAGTGAGAAAAGCTGTGAGAATGTTACTCTCTTCAGTTGTTTACCACTGAGAAGACGTGAAAAGCATTACAAGTGATCTAATTCAGTGTTTACTATATGTAACACAGGCTGGATAGAGAATGCGAACATTAAGCTGTCCTGAGTCAGAAGACACTGAAGGACAATCTTCTCTTCCTCTGCTAAGTGCGTAACTGTTCTGGAGTACTTAGAAGAGCAATGGGGGACGGTCCTAACAGTCCTTGCTAGCTAGGCTTTTCCCACCAGCTCTGCTATTGCAATGTCAGCTAAACCACGGAGATGTCATAGGTTTTGAAACTGAATTTTTATTTTCTTATAAATTGCACTCAAATCAATATTTTGTTCCTTTTTTTGTTTTGTTTTGTTTTTAAGATTGAAGTCATGGCTGGTCCTGAAAGTGATGCCCAGTTCCAGTTCACTGGTATTAAAAAATATTTCAACTCTTATACTCTCACAGGTAGAATGAATGTAAGTATTAATTACATCTTTAAGCACTTATATCTTAGAATAAAAGACATATGATAACTTCCATTTGCATCTTTTTCTCCTCAGTGTGTTCTGGCCACATATGGAGGCATTGCTTTGTTGGTCCTATACTTCAAGTTAAGGCCTAAAAAAACTCCAGCTGTGAAAGCATCATAACTGGTAAGGAATTGCCATTTTAAAGTTTGTAACTTAGCCATCTCTTGTCAAGGTTTTTCTCTTCCCTTATAAAAAAATAAATTATTGGCACTCTGAAATTTATTGCGTACCTGAAAGCAAACACTGGGTATAAATACACTTGTAAGCTCAACAGTGGGGGAATGGGGACAGGATTGCATGTTAAGAACAGCTGTGCTACATAGCAAGACATGGTCTCAACACAATTGAGAGAGAGAACAAGGAGTTGGGTGTAGTGTCTCCTACCTGTAATCCCTGCTGCACTGGGGAGGGTGGCGCAGCAGGATGGTCTTAGTGAGTTTGAGTCTGCTTTGACTCAAAAAAAAAAAAAAAAAAAGACCAGAGAAAGGTATACAACAAAATGGTGTTTTCTCAGGCTTAAAATTGTCTTTTGGGCTTTGTTGAAGTACTTTTCTCTCTCACCGTTTGTCTCTTAATACAATTAGATGACTTCTATATTTTATTTTTGGGAACTTATTTATTTGCACACTCACATGTCATGACACTGGTGAGGAAATATATGAACAACTCTGGGGAGTTGGCTCGCTCCCCCTTGTTGACAGGTCTCATTTCTGCCCTCATGCTGCACTGTGCATTCCCAGCTAACTAGCCTGTCCTCCCCCAGTCTTCAGAAGAGAGCTAGAATTACAAATGTGCCACTGCATCTGGCTTTTTTTTTTTTTTAATAAATTCTTGGGATCAAACTCAAGTCTTCATATACCCCTCAACTCAACTAAAAGCTTATGTAATTTGGTCGGGTTTTGTTTGTTTGGGTATTGAGATAGTCTTGTTTATAGCCCAAATGGTTTCACAGTTGTAGCAATTCCTCCTCAACCAGCTGAGTTTTGTTATTTTTTTGGGGGGGGGGAGGTTCGAGACAGGGTTTCTCTGTGACTTTGGAGCCTGTCCTGGAACTAGCTCTGTAGACCAGGCTGGTCTCGAACTCACAGAGATCCGCCTGCCTCTGCCTCCCGAGTGCTGGGATTAAAGGCCTGCACCACCATCGCCCGGGCCCCGGCTGAGTTTTGAAATTACAGGTTTGGGCCACCATGCCTGGGGCAGAGGCGGGATTAACCAGGCCTGGACAGTGGCTCAGTGGTTAAGATCAAGTACTGTAAGAATAGAGGACTCGAGTTCAGATCCCAGCACCCATGCCAGGTAGCTCAAAACTAACTCCAGGCATCTAAAACCCTTTTCTGGACTCTGATACAGAAACACACATGAAACTTGTGGTACTGGGGATCAAACCCAGGGCCTTGGCAGGTGCTAGGCTGCCGCTCTGCCTAGTGACAGTCCCAACCCTAACCTTCAGTATATGAAGTTGCAAGTATTTGCTGGGTTCTGGTAGCTTTATATTTTCATAGAATACTGGAATGTCCCCCTGAAAAAAACCCTTTAAGGTTTTCTTACAGTCCCCTTCAATCCCTTTTACCTATCCAGAAGTCAGTAAATGTGGTGTTAGCAACATCTGTGCAGAAAGCCAGAAGGCTAGAACTCTGTCGAATGCTTTCTTCACTTCTTTTTGTTCTGCTCTTAAAAGCTTTACCCATCTTTTTTCTTAATATTTATTTTTTTATTATGTATACAATATTCTGTCTGTATGCCTGAAGGCCAGAAGAGGGCGCCAAACCTCTTTACAGATGGTTGTGAGCCACCATGTGGTTGCTGGGAATTGAACTCAGGACCTTTGGAAGAGCAGGCAATGCTCTTAACCACTGAGCCATCTCTCCAGCCCAAGCTTTACCCATCTTAAGTCTGTTAAAAGTAGGGGTCTATGTAGTCCAGTACATTCTTATTCCTTTTTGGGTACTTTGCCCAGTTTTCTGCATGAAATTACTTCTGACTTTGGAAGGGTAATATATCTCCATGAAAACTTTATCTTGAACCAAGCAGTGTTGGCACATGCCTTGAATCCCAGCCCTCAGGAGGCAGAGGTTGATGGATCTCTGAGTTCGAGGCCAACCTGGTCTACAAGAACTAGTTCCAGGACAGCCAGGACTGTTACCCTATCTCAAAAAACAAAAAACTATCTTGAAAACAAAGTAGTGGACACTGTATCTTACCTATTTATATGTCTGTCCTACTGACTCTTAAGAATCTGATGAATTTGTATTTTATCTTGGGGGGGTTGTGATAATTACTGATTGTCACATTTGTATCAAACTGTTTTTGCTGTTTTGTAGGGTCTTTCAATGTCTGACCTCATCTGTTAAGTTCCATGCCTGAAGAAGCTGATGTCAACTCATCATGTGATACTCAATTTGTACAATAAATTATGAACCTGGAAAAGCTGGTTGTCTTTATTTACAAGATATCAAAAATATAAAACTGTACAAAATGCAACAAAAGCAAAAACTGGCAGTGACTTGGTCTAAATCTCTTAGTTTTCCAAAGCAAGGCTCAGTACTGGAGGTAAGCAACTGAAATGTCTGACTTCAAGTGTACTAGGTCGTATGTAGCCATGTCAGTTGAAGTATAGTATGGGATCTAGATCTCTTCACCTGGTCTGTAGAATGATTGCACTCAGAACTTAAAAGGTAGAAATTGAGATGTCAGTGGCTGGTTGGTACTTCTAGATCTTAGGAACTGTAGTTCCTACCCAGTTACATACATCCCACTAGTCATGGTGAAGGAAAGCATGTTAGTGGGTCATTTGCCGTAGTGCTTGCGTGCCATACAGTAACTTCATTTTACAGCAGACACACACATGCTCATAGAGCTCTTAGGCTACTCAAGATGGTACTGTATTTCTTAGTTTGAATCTTGAAGCAGAATAAATTGTTTAAATCAAATTGACTTCCTTTCTAAACATAATAAATTAAAATAGCATTTGAACAGAAAAATGCATAGTTTCCACACAATCCAAAGCACCATAATGTCCCCTCCATGAACATAATACCTCTCATTCAACTAACGGAAATTAGTTCAATGTGGTTGCTAGAGAAACGTGGAACTGTCCTGTTCAGATTTTCCAAGCAGCATACTCCCAGATCCATGTAGACAAAAACATTCTTTGTAGCTTAAATACTAATCACTGAGGTATTTGCTTTTTTAGTCTCCCTTTTCCAAACAGTAGCTTCCAAAAAAGTCTCTAATACCGCTGGTTTATTGCGGACTGTAAGCTCCTGCAGCTAGAACCAAGTTTCTTCGAGTAAAATGTAGGTGTACAACTGGTGTTGATTTGGTCATATATGTACCCAATAATAACTCCTGGGAATTCTCAGGTAGGTTTATATGTCCAGTGGCGGTAGTAAAGTCATCAGTCTCTAAATCTTCAAATGCTTTAATGGCATCCCATAACCGGACTGTATTATCCATTGAACCTAAAAGAAAGCCAAAGAAAATATTAGTATCCGTCACATCTAGAGTCTGACATTTTCCCATGTATACTTTGTATTTGCCTTGTTTTTATGAAAACTAAACCTTTATCCCAAAGCCATTAAAATAATTTACCTGATGCCAAAATTTCACCGTCTCTACTAAACCTAAGCGAACACACTGTATCAGTGTGGCCTTTTAATTCTCCAACCATCAAGCCATGTCCAATATCCCAAAGAAGTACTCTGCCATCTGTTGCTCCTGTAGCCAGGAATCTCCCATTGGGAGAAAATGTCAAGGAATGAATTGGTCCCTAGAAAAGAGCAAAATAAGGTTAAGTATATCTGATAAGGCCAAGACAGAACTGTAGTTTAGTGGCATGGATACTATCTTTAAAGCTTGCATGCTGCTAGTTAGTATTCTGACTCTGAAAGGATCTGTGTGTGCCGGAATAAGGTGTGAGATACCTTGTGTCCAGTGAAGATCCTGACACAGTTACCATTGAGCACATCCCACAGCCGCACAGTTCTGTCTGCAGAGCCCGTAGCAACATAGTTCGAATTTGGATGAAATCGAGTGCAGTTCACATCAGCAAGATGTCCAGCAAATATCCTTAAAGGCTGATAGTGATCTGTAGCCCAAAGCCTTTTTGAAATTAACGAAAAATAGTAATTAATTGAAATAAAATTTAACCCAAAAAATTGGTACATCCAGATCAAAGTAAATTCCCAATGGCACCTCCTTGCCATCTTAAGGAAAGACAACAGAAGATTGGGCCTAGTTTGAGACAGGGTCTCACTATGTAGCCTTGGCTGTTCTGGAACTCAAGATATCTGCAGATCAGGGTGGCCTTAAACTCGGCCCCTACCTTAATCTTCCAAGTGCTAGGACTAAAGGAATGTGCCACCATGTCCTGTTCTAGAGTGCTGGGATTATGGGCATGGAAATTCCTTTTATTTATTTTTGGCTTTTAGAAACAAGGTGTTCTCTGTGTAGGTCTGGCTGTCCTAGAATTCACTCTATAGACTAAGCTCTCCCTCTGCCTCCCAAGTGCTGGGATTAAAGGACTCTACCACCACCACCACTACCCAGTTTATATAATATTATTTTATGTGCATTGGTGTTTTGCCTACATGCATGACTGTGTGAGGGTGTCGAATCCCCTGAAACTGGAGTGACAGACAGTTCTCGGCTGCCATTTGAGTGTTGGGCATTGAACCTGGGTCCTCTAGGGCAACAACCTCTGAGCCATCTCTCCAGCCAGCATGTAAATTCTATGATTCTTTGTAAACGCACTGCTTCCCACTCCTAATGCACAGAAAACCATTTTCCTGTAGTTTGGGTAACTACATGGTTTCTAGGAACAATTTTGCCAATGGAAACTTTACAATAACAGGAGACAAAAGGTGCTCATAGTGGGAATGGGAAACAAGACACATCTCGCGTGGGGAACGTTATAAATTACGTTAAAGCAGGACCCTTAGTGTACACATACTGAAAGACAGTAATATTCTTCCTCACATTCATTTCAAACTACGGCAATAAATGCTTATCTTCTCAAAAAGTCAGCCCTGATAGCATGAATATGATGTTTGCTGGACTTTGTATTCGCAACAAGAATCAGTTATGTTCAGTGAATAAACCCATGAGATCATAGTGTTCTTACCGAGCTACTCGGTCATGGCCTCCTGACACAAAATAATATCCATATGGAGAAAACTGTGTGTCCCATACTGGGTAGTTGTGTCCTTTATATCCCACCAAGCAAGTAAACGTCTGAAGGCTCCAGAGTCTAACAGTTCCATCCTCTGAAGAGGAGAGCAGATAGTTCCTGAGGAGAGGAGGTGATATGTTTGATTTCCAGAATAATCTGGTTACCTGTTCAAGTTTCTTCTCATTCTCACATTTCAGCAAATGACTTAGACCTAGGTATATCTCAGTGTGTGCACATACATGTGGAGATGCGCAGATAGTGCTGAGGACTGAACCTCAGGCCTTGCACATGACAGGCAGGAAATCTACCACTGAGCCCTTCACCTGTGTGTGTGGTATGAGGTATGCATGGACATGTTCAGGTGTCTTCCTTGAGCAATCTCCCAGATGAACCCAGAGCTTGTCAGTTTTCTCCAGAGATCCCATCTCCAGCTCCAGAATACTGAGATTACAGGAGGGCTGCCATGCCAGTCCAGCATTGTAGGTGCTGGGGATCCAAAGTCTGGTCTTCACACTTGCATGACAAGCACTTTACCACCCACTGAGCCATCTCATCCCCACCTCTTTATTTATACTTAGAACCAAAAGCTAAAATTATTAAACTAATGTTAAAATGAAATACTGTCATACTATATTCTGAACATCAACTATATAAAGCTAATTATTAAAAATATATAGTGATTATGGGGAGGGGGTCACAGTACTTTAGAAAAGAAAAAAGTAGTAAATAGTCTGGTAACTCATGAGTGATCTCAGAATTTGGGAGATTGAGGCAGGAGGCTTGCAGCAAATTCAAGGCAAGTCTGGAATACAGCATGAGACTCCATTTCAAAACACCAAAATAATAATAATAATCAGAATAATAAAAAGTATGTTTACCAAGACAGCCAAAAAAACGAATGTCAACTTGTGAATATTATTTCCTATCCACATGGGCTATATTTTAAAAAAAAGAAAAGGAGTGGAATGTAGCTGAGTAGCAGAGTACTAAAGTCTACCATTCAACCAGACTCTACTCCCATGCAAAATGATAATGTTCTACTTTTTCCAGGGATAAATACAAAAGTCAACTGTTTTCACTGAAATCAGACATTTCTTCAAGTAAAATGTACCATCTGGTTAAATCACTATTAAATATATATTTTTTTTTACTCCCAAGATCTCACAAATACAGTTAAAACTCTAGTGGTTGAAAACTACTATCCAAGTAGAATACAAATGATAATATGGGTGAAAATTCCCTCTTCCAGTCATTTTTGCACAAAGTTAGAAATGAAAATCAAAAAATAGCTAAACACATATGGTGCTATTATTTCAGAAGATGATCTCAACCACAATCCCCTCACCTTAGCCTCCCGAGTAGCTGGGATTACAGGCACTTACCACCACGCCCAGCCTTCTTCATTCTTTCCATTATAGCCTGCTAATGCTTCAGTGGATAGCTATTAATGCCATTAGTATAAGGAATTTGTGTTAAATTTTACAAAGTGCCACAAGAACAACCAAGAACTCAAGGAATTCAACCTCTATTAGAGGGTTGTTCAAAGATGAAGCTAAATTTTGAAACCAGTGAGCCCTGAATGTGCACCTTGATCCTGTAAATTTAGCATATACTTAGTTGCTATTTTATATACCAGTACTCCAAGATAAATTAGCAAATGTAAGATTCTAAAAGATACTGAACTACAGGCAATCATGATGTTTTTCTAAAAAGTGTCTACACATACGCATTTTATTTCCAGCAGTTAACTTTTAAATCTCAATACTGTTTATCAGTATTTAATTTTGTTTGTATTTTACCTATCCGGACTGAAGCTGGCTCCATAGACAGGCCCACTGTGACCATACAAAATCTTCAACTCACTTGCAGTTTTCTCATCCATGATTCTTTCTAAGACATCATCTGATTCTTTGTCTATAAGACTAAGATCTAAAAAGGTTCAGAAATATTATTTTAGGTTCGTTCATTAAAACACTTTAAGGCAATCCTATCATAGCTCAGAACTAACATTTCAACATTTCTTTCTATGCACCAAAAACCACTATGCTAAGGCCTCTAAAGTCAGTGATACATCCCTTGTACAGAATAAAATGAACCTTCAAACAGTTAATAATCTGCTAGACCACACAGTTACTCAGAATGAGAACCAGGACTGATTCTCTAGTTTGCCTACTATGCTATGTTTCATAAAAATCCTAAAATAATTTAAATGTACTATTTAGGAAAAATAGCAACAAAAGCTTTTAAAAAAATCCTG